ATGATGGCGTGAGTCTTCTGAAGATCGAAAACATGGAAATTCAGAACATATATGCTTCAAGGGACACCATAAGAGAGTATGAATATATTTTAGATGAGTCATCACCGCCGCCGCCCGTCCCCCCTCGCGACAGCTCCTCAGATGATCTTCCATCTTCAAGCTCCCAGTTTCCTGAAGCAGGCAACTCTGATTCACAAGAGTCTGGGGATGACAGCCATGAATACTTGTATATTGATGAGCCCGAGCTTGATGGATCCAAAACCTCCCAAGAATCAAAGACAAATGCTACTGCTGCATCATCACACCCTGGTAACTTAATTCAAGGAATGGTTGATCGGGATAAAAATTTGCCTAATACCGTACCTAATGATGATGATGATGATATTTACATACAAGTAGAGTCTGACAGTACTCCCCAAACACCAACAGAGGGCAGCGACACTACAAAAATAAAAGAGCCTGTAAAACCTCCACGCAAAACTAAGTTGGAACCAAAGAGCGTGGAAGAGAACAACCCAGTGGTGAAAAAGACACCACCAGCTATAAAGCCAAAGCCTCCTTCCATAAAGAAGAAACCTACATTACAGCAACATGAGGAACAATTCATTGTACCTGATGACCTGTCGCAGATGTCAGTACGTGAAGTGTCCCAGTTCTTGAGGCACTTCCACTTTGAAAATTGCATCAAAGAATTTGCAGATAACGATGTGGATGGTGACTTGCTTGTCAGCCTGAACGAGGAGGAGCTTGCTTCACTTGGAATGAGTGTATTTCAATGCAAGAAAATAGCGAGGCTTGCTGGTGGATGGAGGCCTAGAACTTAACTACTAGTTTGAGAAGTGTGTGAGTTAGCCTGTGGGGAGGCTCTCTTGTGGAACTTGAGTTTCGAGGCGAGCGTGGAGAGTGAGGATTGGGGCACTCGCCACATGCATGTGCATTATAAAATGCAGAAGCATGATCACCATTATTAAATCCCAAAACAAGAGAGCTTGCTCGCAGGCTACATGTACATGTATATGATTTAAATGGAAATTTTGCTTACTCTGTAACTTGTAAGGGAGGAAGAAAATTCAGTAAAGCCTGTTTCACACTAGCGACATAACAACTTAACAATATGAACATGATGACATAAAGAAAATATCAGTTTTTTTTCCTTATGTCGCTATTCCTGTTATGTCTTTATGTTGTGCTTTTCACATGTATATGATTTAAATGGAAATTTTGCTTACTCTGTAACTTGTAAGGGAGGAAGAAAATTCAGTAAAGCCTGTTTCACACTAGCGACATAACAACTTAACAATATGAACATGATGACATAAAGAAAATATCAGTTTTTTTCCTTATGTCGCTATTCCTGTTATGTCTTTATGTTGTGCTTTTCACACTGGTGACATAAAACATCGACATAGGGTGTTTTTTGCATTTCGTGACCTTGCCGTTATGGTTATGTCGTTAGTGTGAACCAGGTCTATAAGCTGGCATGAAAGATGAAATACCTACATGCAGGGTCCCAGATCGATAAGGCAAGGTATCAATGAGGAATAATCCCAGAGGGGGGGGGGGGGGGGGGACTCCCATATAAAAGTGACGGGGGTGATCGTCGTACCTTTAGGGGTTAAAATTTGTGGTTTGGTACCGCTTAGGGTGATAAAATCTAAAATGACCACTATTATAGTCATTCAGGTACCTTTTAGGGTATTATGTATGCCGGAAAAAAGCAGGATATGAACTAGTTTTGTTTTAAAATTGGTACCTTTTAGGGGTGAAAATGAATTCGAGCCACACCCACAACACGAGATTCTGGTACCTTTTAGGGGTTCTTTTCAAAATTTCCGACGATCACCCCCGTCACTTTTATATGGGAGTCACCCCCCGGGGAATAATCATATATTTGCAATAGGTCAATAGAATAAACATTTTGGCAAGATGTAATATTTCTGATTGTGCACTTGATAATCAGTCATTTAGTAGCCTGCGTGGCAGGCGTATAAAGGGGAGGGAGGGGAGTTCTACGCGCGCGAAGCACGAGCTGCCACGCAGGCTAGTCATTTAGCAGCATGTATATTGGCATTAATTTTGTCAAAAATACATCTAGCCAAAATGTTTAGATTGTTCAATAATATAATCTTTAAAATATTATGTGTTGACCAAGTCAATAGTAAGCTATTCCCTAAATATCTTTAAGTTAATATTTAATGCTGGTTATATTTTTTTTTCTAACTACAGGTAACTTACATGTAATACTAAGACTACCAGTAGTGATTGCTGAATGTAATAATAGATTATTACAGTGGGCCACCAAAATGTGGTCGTATCAAATAAGAACATGACTAACACAGCTTTAGTTTGGGACAAAATAAAAATAATATTTTTAATTATTAATAATAATTTAATAATAATAATTTAATCACTTTTATAGCGCTATTTACATATTCTGATCAATTGCGCTAATCCTAATACTAAAATCTAACAAGTTAAGAATGCATGCATGTATGCATGAATGAATGAATGAATGAAAGAAAGAAAGAATGAATGAATGAATGAATGAATGAATGAATGAATGAATGAATGAATGAATAACTTAGTTTATTTTTGTGTCACGTCATCTAGCATATGGGAAACCCTAATTGTTTAGTGTGGAATTCAAGTAATGCAAATTATTATTGGCAGGATAGTTACCCAACGTGCAGACAGCTGTATCCACGGGATCTGGAACTGGGACTCTCCTCTGCAGAGGCTCGTGAGGAGGAAATACGCTGAGCAAAGTAACTGAGTGCAGGCAGTTGCAAGTGGTCAGGAGAAAGAGAACCTCACTCAACAGGTTTTTCCTAACTCCTTGTCAGCCTCTGCGGAGAAGAGAGGGGCTGGTGCCCGGGTGGGGGGTGCGCCCATGTGAAAGGGAGGGAAACTCTGTCATAATGTGTATTTAAAGTGGTCTAAACTGATCAGACATGACATCTTCAAAAAGAATGGTATCTTTTGGGGCTCAATTAAAGCTTGAGCCACACCCTGATTGGTCTCCTTTAGGGGTTTAATTCAAATTTTCCAACGAGCATCGCCGTCACTTTCACATGGGAGTCCCTAGGAATGAAGTTGTGAGTGGGGTGGTGTGTTATATATAAAACGGATCGGGAAGTTCATTGAAATGTTTTTTAACAGGAACCCCTAAGGGGTACAGTTGAACACTACATTATGGACAGTCACTGCATTTTAATAATATTACAGTGTTAATTATTTTTTTAGTGCCTGCTGAAGGTTAATATGTAAATTATTAAGTGTTTTAAGTTATTATTTTCTATTTTTGCTAATTAATACACGAGTGAAGGTTTACTGTACATTAAAATAATGATTTTACACGAATAGATGTTCGGTTTGGTGGTTTCGAATCATTCTGTCTTGTAGTTAACCGGGTGGCCCAGTTCGTAATTCACTTGTGGGTTTTCTTTACTGTGACTCACCCCATGTACCTACTCGGCCAAGTATCAGTCAATCAAGCCTCTAGGAGACCCGCTATCGATCCGCTAATGAAGCATTTTGATCATAGACTGCAACAAGACTTTCGATTCAGGAAGTGCCAATCAGTCGTTTACTTGATCATGAAGATGCAATTTAGTCGTTAGAGCATAACAAGTACTTTACAGTTCAACTTTTTACCCCTCCTCTGGTTGATGCCCCTTCCCCTGTCTGATGGTTAATTCCTGCCCTGCCACGCCCTCCACTGGTTGATGGTTTTCTCCCGCCAATCAAGATATATATCAATCAGGGAAGGATGGTTGATAGATCTCTTGGTTGACAGTCCTATCCCCATCCCCTCTCCTGGTTGATACACTATATATCTTGATCGAAGGTCTCATCCACCACTCCCTTGGTTGTTGGTCCCCTCCCCTCAGTGGTTGATAGATCTCTTGGTTGATGGTCCTCTCCCCTCAGTGGTTGATAGATCTCTTGGTTGATGGTCCTCTCAGTGGTTGATAGATCTCTTGGTTGACGGTCCCCTCCCCTCAGTGGTTGATAGATCTCTTGGTTGATGGTCCCCTCAGTGGTTGATAGATCTCTTGGTTGACGGTCCCCTCTAGATCTCTTTCATTAGTGGACTGTTCCAGGTTCTCAGATTTTGGGGAAAATGGGCAAGAGAATAGCAGAAAAAAAAGACTGGACTTTTTCTTGTTTGCCTGCTACCTTTCACAGTGTGGAACAGGGTAGCTCCAACTGATAAAAGAGGTCCACCTCAAAAGGAGATGTTTTTCCTGCAAATGGTCAGACCATTGCATTCCATTTAATTTCCAATTGAAATTTCCAGCATTTTTGGCTGAATGAAAAACATCCAATGGATGATTTTCTAACTGTTTATTAATTCAGTCTTGTTTATTAAAGAAATGACAAACATTGAATAGTCAAGGCCATTGCACAACTCAATTATTTATTTCAAACACAGTCCACTCAGACGACAGGTCATGTAGACACCTGAAGTCACACAAAACCATTTTTAATATGTTAACAAAGGTCACAGTTTTATTAAAGCCTCAGCTTGACACTTGATTTCAATGTATGTAGAAATATTGACACAAGAAAAGTAATTATGTGCAAGTAATCATCCAAAAAATACAACTTTCACAAATTTCTTGAATGTTGGCAGACATCTGCAAAGAAAAAAGAAACAGTTGTTTGTTATTCATTTTATTTTAAATTCAGTAAAGAACGGCGGAACCCTGCCCACACAGACTTCAAGTGTGTATTTATACAGTTGAACCTCGCTATCTCAAACTCAGTTATCTTGAACACCCACCCTGCTATCTCGAACTCAAACCCACTCCCCTTGCCCTTGTTTTTCAGTCATTTACTATCTGCAGTGCTGTCTCAAACTGTTTTTCATTTCCCTTGAGAGTTCAAAATAGCGGGTTTCAACTGTAACATGAAAATGATTCAAGAAATGTTCATCATCAGAGAGGTAAACTCTGATATGCCTTTGTAGAAACAAAACAAATGCTGGAAAAATCAAGTGCCCCGAGCAGGATTCCAACCCACGACGCCCCGATCTCATGACAGGTGCTCTAATCACTGAGCTACCAAGGCAACCACAGTGGAGTGAGATGAATATTGGCTACAACGGAACACCGATTACCAGACATTTGCTCCCAGGCCTCTCGGACTGGGAATTACTTCTGTTGGTCGTCAAGTTTACGCTGATCAGACCAGATGTTTTTAAATTCAAGAAATAATTACCAAATTTAATAAATTTGCATAACACTGATGCTTCCATGGCAACCATATTATGACAGGCTGGTATGTTTGAATTTGCCGCACATTTACATCTTGACTTTCCCATGACATCAGAAATCATGAAATATAAAGATGGCAGCCAGATTTTCAGAAATAATTATTTGGAAGGTTATGGTCCCATGCTCGTAATAAACTGAATACAGTTACAAAAATGTACTTACCGGTATATATATATTAATTATTATTATGTTACCAACTTTTAAACAAACATTTTTGGAAGCACTACACCATGATCATAAAGGGAAATTTTTTAAGGTGATTCCTTAGTATTGCATTGCGCATCCTTACTGCGCATGATTTCACACGTAATTAGCGCGCGCATAAAGAAAATGGCGGCTTTTCCTTTACGGCTAAGCTCGCCAGAGAGATAAATCGTCATTTTCTCGTAAACGAGTACGGTGACCTATCAATTTTTTCTCTTATTTTGAGTCTAGTAATCACCTTCTTTCTATAAAATAAATATAGACTAATTTCTATTGCAGAATAATAAATAATCACCGGAAACGTGAACTTAGCTAATAAAAACGTTTCTGGAAGCTGATATTGTACGGAATTATGGGGTATATACAAGGTCCGCCTGCTCCTATATGAATACCGGGACCCCCCTTTTTTATTTCAAAATTTAAGTTCTCATAAGATAAACAACCAATAGGCAAAATTTGAATGAAAATCTATTGTAAGTTCTATTTCGATGGAATGACCTTAAAGGGACACTGTCCCGGCGTATTTCCTCAAAACTGTTATAAATGCACGAAATGGTCCCTAAATCTATGAAATAAGAACTTAATAAACTCTAACTAAATGATAAAAAGCAATTTCTTCAAGAAATTGCATACTGCAACAAAATATTTGCAAAATTTGAAAGATTTCCGAGCCAAATTTGAAACTTTGAAAAACTGACATCCTGACAGTTTTTCAAAAATCCATATTGCAATCCATTTCCATCCTCGCTGTTGTTTGTCATCCTCACTTCCTAATGGGTTCCTGTCATTTGTCGAGTGCTATTCTACAGAATCAAACCATTATTGTTCAACTTCCTATGATCTAGATATGTTTTTGAGCTTCCCCAAATCATGCTAAAATCAGGACAGTGTCCCTTTAAGATCAGTACCTCCTATGCTCCTAGAGGTTCCTTCTCTAATGCCATTTGTTCTGCCACTTTCACCGCATCGTAGTTTTTGTAGAATTCTTCATACTGCCTCCTTTTAGGATCTGCATAGCCAAATTTCCATATGCAACCAGCAACGATGCCAAGGGCTATGGACCTCAAGATGGCCCTGTTGAGACTTCTCTGTGCAAAACCACGAAGTTGAGGAGGTGCCATACCTATGGTAGAGAATGGTAAAACTATATGTACAATAGACCCTTCCACGGTTTGTTGTCCAGTTAGCAAAAATCTATGTGACACTGCTGGAAAGAGCACCTTGAAATTAGTGAAATGGCCAAGTTTGAGAGTGATATCTTGCAAAATAGCACAAATATGACTCTACAAAGTCAGGAAACTTTATAGATGTTTGTATGCTGGAGTTTGTGCCCCCCAGTATACAAACGTCTGTAAAATTTTGTGGAACTATATATTTGTGATTTTACAAGATATGAATCTAAAATTTGGCCAATTGTCTAATTTTAAGGTGCTCTTTCCAGCACTGTCGATAGATTTTTGCTATAAACTGGCCAATATCAAAAGTTGAAAAAAACGTGGAAGGGTCTATTTTTAGCATGTAACAAATGGGTGCGAATGTTCACATGCAAAAAGATAGCCTGCCAAAGGGTACCCTGGTTAGGAGGGTTACACTGTCTCGCATGTAACACAATAGGCCAAGCCAGGGATCTTTCTCTCCATGTAAACAGGCCCTTTGAGATATTACAGCCTTAACTGACACACTTTCGAAAAATATGTAAACTCGAACTAATGTGAGGAAACATAGTCCTATAAATAACGCTATATGTTGTGTTTGAATCCTCCAAGCTGTGTCCGAACGCATTGTGAAACTGGATACGAACTCTTCGTTAACGTTCGGAAATCTTCAAATTGTCTTCGGAAATCTTTGGATGTCTTCGGCAACGTTCGGAAAACGTCGGAACATCTTCGGAAATCCAGGTACTCTGAAGACAAAAATCTCATGCATTTGACTCAGGAAAAGTTGGCAGGTATATGTATGTACAAAAAATTAATACAGTTGAAGCTCCACTATACACGGCCACCTCAAGCTCTCTACATATAACGGCCACCTCTTTACAACAGCCAGGATTTTTCATCCCGACTGTGCGCCGATCCGTACATTTTACTCTTATTGAAACCTCCCCACAACGGCCACCTCTCTACAACGGTCAAATAATTCTGCACCAGGGTGGCCGTTGTGGAGAGGTTCAACTGTACTAGTTAAAATTCTTGAAAATAATTGATTTTTTTAACTAACTGCAAATTAAAAATTACAAAATTAGTCTCAATGCTAATCCTGTGTAAGCTTAACAATGTTTATGCTCATCATCTAGCTTTCGCTCGATTGTGTGCCGGTTGGGAATTTATTAAAGTCTTACATAAGCAATTAAAGTCAAATAAAACTGCATGAACTGCAGGCTAGTGATCGTGAGTTCTTTCGAGAATTTTCACTAGTGGAAATCACCATTACTTTACAAGGAATATATTTTTAGTTAGTTGTAATCCTGACTTGTAGAAAACGTAAGCTACGCGTACCGTTGCACAAATGGTACAGCAAGCAAGATTATTACGTACATATTGGACGGCGTGAACTGATAATTGCGCCGAAAGATGTCCACATTACGGGTCACAAACAAACCGTCAAAAGCAATCAAGCACACAAACACATTATCAATGTTTAAATTTCGTAGATTAGATTGATAATTAAAATCTAAGTTACCTGAAAAGCCACAGAATAACGAGCTTGTGAAGACTTCAAAACCCTGTACGTCTGTGTATAATCGCTGTCGGGAACAACTCCTGCTCGTAGGTTTCTTGGGTAAGCCTGCTGACCGCATTTGACCAGATGTTTTGAGCGCGCCAAACTTTTTTTCACAAAAACTTCCGGAACAAATCGAGATTTTTAGGTTTTGCTTTGTAGTATGGTAGAAAACTAAATAACGTAAAAATGAAGGCATTACAAAATAATGAAAAAAAAATAATACTTATATTACTTATTACCGGCCGAGACACCGAGTCTCCCCAGCAACCCCATCAAATTCAAAACAAGGAATCTTAAAACAGCTGCTTTATTTATTGTTCACTTAGTTATATGTCAACAAGTCTGACGGTATGGAGTTCAATAGTAAAGACAAGTGATTTTATGACGATCCGTGCAGGCAGCAAAATACCTGAAATATAAATAAATCTAAATCATGCGTTGCATTGAATAACTGAGGCACAAGCGTTTCAAAAGGGCCTGAGTTTGCCGGGATTACTGGAGCGCTCGTGCGCAAAGCCAATGACCATGAAATGCGGAAATCTGGGGGCGAGGCAGGCTCGTATATTAAAGTCGTCACATGTCTTAAACCAGTCAGGGGAACAAGAACCAGATGATGGCGAAATCCCACCTCCGAGACGGGACTGAGTCCGCGGTTTTCATCCCCTGAAGGCGAAGTTGCTACTGACAACATGGCCGACGTATCCTTATTGCGCGATTGCTTTCGGCGTACTCGTAAGTGGTCGCATCGCGCTAGTTTTTGATTGGATAATAAGAGTCGGAAACTCTTCGATTGCTTCAACGGAGATTTTCCAAAACGACACTTGTTCCCCCGACTACTCTCCCGACTGCAACTTGCACCTCTCCCTCCACCCGATTCAGAGCCCGACGCACAAAAAATATAATATTTCAGTGTTACGGGGGAAAAAACTGAGAAAGCGAACTAATGTTTAGTTCGTTTAGTTGCACTTTGCTCCGACGAAGGGCTAACGCTCGAAACGTCAGCTTTTAGAAATTCGCTACGGCGGTTTATTTACCTTTATCAACTCCAAGCTGATAATCAACATAATGTTTAGCCTTCCCTCCCTATTAAAGTTATTTTTCATGCGTCTCTGCATAGTCTCTGCTGGTTCATCCCCGTATTATCATTTTTTTTTAGTATCACCTCCGTCTAGTTGAAAGCGACTGCTCCCAGGCTTGGTTCAATGGATAGCACTTACCATAAACTGAGATAAAAAAAATCTACAACATGCACCGGGACATCACATCGATTGGTCCATCTCCCGTTGCATCGCCTGAGCCTCCTTCTCGGCATCAAAGTTCTTATAATAGTCTTCATATGTCTTCTTTCTTGGCCAAGCGATGAAATACTTGTAGGAGAAGCCCGCCGCCAAGCCGATTCCTATTGCTCGCAAGATTGCTCTTTGTAAATTACGCTGAACCATTCCACGAAGTTGAGGCGGGGCCATCACGCGTGTGATACAAGATCAGTAGGGGTGTTGTCAAACCTGCGAGAGGTAAAACAGCAACCTCGTTCCCAGGGTCTCTCTTCTTCCCGCCAAACGCGATAGTGACGCGTTTGGTGGGAAGAAGAGAGACCCTGGGAACGAGGTTGGTAAACAGTAGCAGCAACATTCGGTGGCTGGCATAGGACACAGTGCGCCAAATGTCGAGTTCAATTATCCCTTTGCACTGTTACTCCACTTGCCGACTGAGAGTGGTGCAGTCCCGGAGGGGGATTACACAAAAAAGTGACGGGGAGATCGTCATACCTTTCAGAAGTTAAAATTTGCGATTTGGTCCCATACAGTGACAGGGGTGATCGTCGGAAATTTGAAAAGAACATCTAAACGGTACCAAAATATTTTGTGG